GTTAGGGAGCCTATGGTGGGTGGTTGACCGCTAGGTGACTTCAACGGACTGGCTTCAGTTGACCAGACTACAACGTGATTTGGCTGCCATTGTGGAGCCCTCAGGCGCGTCAAGGCGACAAGGCCTTCTCACGCGAGTTTGAGCGTACCTCCCCTGGATCTTGAGGGTCTTGCTGATTCTACTTCTACCCTTCTTACTCTAAGTCTGGTCCTTTGGCTCTGAGAGGATGGCGGCAAGCGGGCGTGTGGCCTGTAGTCCGCGCCAAGGCCTTTGTGGGAGGTTGCCCCACCGATTGCGGGAGCCCTGCCGGGACTCAGGCGGAGTCCTGGAGGCAGGGAACTGAGTGGTAATCCCTTGACTCCCTCTGTAAACGCAACTATAACCCCTATCCATACATCTTTCTATGTTTGATTGAGTGTACGGTGTGGATCCTGTATCTTGACATTGGTTTGACTTTCAGGACATAAGTCAGATTGAAATAAAGGAATGTGTGTGCAATGTCAGCTTCAGACTTTGTTTGACTGCCTGAAAGCAGATTGTGAACGAAGGAGTGTGCATCTGGGGGGAGGCTGGGAGGAAGGCAGTATTATGTGTAGACTGATCGGGTCGTTAAGGCCGGGAGGTCCCCATAAGTTTGGGGAAGCCCTGCGGTTTGTTTATTTTTGGTTTGCATGGAGCCTCAGGCTGCTCTATAAGTTTAGGTAGCCTGAAGCTCTGGAGGCCGGGATGTCCCCATAAGTTTGGGGAGACCTGGTGCCGTGAATTGCTTGGAGGGTCAGGACGCTCTATAAGTTTAGGTGACCTGACTGCTCTGACTTGCGAGGGCTGATTGTGCTTGACTTTCAGGGGCTTAGGGCGCTCTATAAGTTTAGGTACCCTGGGTCGCCTTGTTTGTTTGGGAGTTCTTTCTGTTTCTTTGTTTCTAAACGAGGAGGTCTGAACCGCTCTATAAGTTTAGGTGGTTCGGCCCTTTTCCTGTTTTGTTCTGAGGGAATAATTCTGGCAGGGGACAGGCCGCTCTAAAAGTTTAGGTAGCCTGGCCTACTGCCTCGCACAGACTGGATCAGAGAGAAACGAACCTGGCAGAGGGTCAGACCGCTCTATAAGTTTAGGTAGTCTGACCCAATGCCTTGCACATGTTGGAACCCAATGGATATAATCTGGCTATATTGTATTACTATGCTATTAGGAACAGGCTAGTCAGGCCGTTCTATAAGTTTAGGTAGTCTGGCTATAGCTTATCACAACTGAAGAGAGTACAATTGAAGAGGTATAACTGAAGGTAGACTTGGGCAGGCTGAGCAGTGTTCTAAGTTGAGCGGCTCTGCCCTATGTCCCTTTTGAAGACTAAGTTCAGAGATATATATATAACTTGGCTATTTAAACAGTTCAAGGTGACTAGAGTGGTCTAGTCATACGCCCAAAGAAGAGAGAAGTAGTTGTGCCCTCTGTTTGTGTATACCTGGCCAAGTCAGAACGCTCTATAAGTTTAGGTATTCTAACTTTGGGCCTGGCTAAGTTGGGCACGCTCTGTAAGTTCAGGCGCCCTGACCTATGCCTTATGTAAGTTCGGTATATTTGCTAAAGGAGTTTGGGGTTAGTGAGAGTACTTACCCTTGTGGTTTGGTCTACATGTGGTTGAGTGAAATTACTACTTCGTCCGGGTTTCAGGTTGGCAGGTAGTTGCTTTAGAGGCTCGCCACGGGCTAGAGCGATAAGAGCTATGTCAATTCCTGCATTTTCTAAGTTGACTTTATTTTACTCATATCGATTTCTGTATTTTCTGAGACTCGCTATTGTACTTGGACTTGTATAAATTTTGGTAAGCTACTTTCTCTACGGGAAGCGCTGCCGAAATTTCTACAGATTCAAGGAGTTAGACAAATTTTGACTTGTCAAAGTTCAGCTTGTCTTTTCGTTATATCTGACTTAGTAAAAATCTGGAAAGCCTCCTGTTCTAAAGGGAGTGTTGCCCAAATTTTTGCTAATTCAGGGAGTTAGACAAAATTGGGCTTTGGGCAGTCAAAGTTAGTCTCAGGTTTCAAACTTAGCCTTGTGTAAATTTTAGGACAGCACTTTTCCAGGGGGAGTGCTGCCGAAATTTCTGCAAAACTAAGGAGTAAGTCAGATTTTGTCTAAGTTGAACTCAAGGTTGGGGGCTGAGTTCAAATTTGACTTGGTATAAATCTGAGAAATCCCCAATTCCAAAGGGGATGCTGCCCAAATTTCTACTAATTAAGAGAGTTAGATAAAATTTGACTTTCAAGAGTCATAGATTACTCCTGCTTTTGACATTTGAGTTTGTATAAATTTTGAAAAGGCACCTTTCCTACGGGAAGTGCTGCCGAAATTTTCTTGAACCAGAAGAGTTAGACTACATCTTGACAGATGGCGAGTCTGGCAATCCACCCTGAATAGGGGAGATTCTGCCAATTGCCTACCTTGTTTCGGACACTAGCTTAGAGGCAGGCTTGGACTTAGTTGGCAGGTAGCTTTGAGTGAGAATCTGCTAGCGAGGTTTATCCCCCATATGCTGATGACTTAGCTTGGGCATTTGACCTACCTTGTGTTACAGGTCCTTTGGGGTGTCTGATTCAAGATCAGGACTAGATTTAGCTTGATCCCTTGACGATCACCTTCTGTTATCACTGATAACAAGTCGGTTGCCGATTCGTCGGTCTTCGACTCAATTCCAACTCACTCTCCATACTCAACCTAAAAGGCTTTAGCCCTGATGGTTTTACTGTTTGTTAAGGGTTTCACCCGGACTTTTATTGAATGACCATTTAACAGAGGTGCTGAGTATTTAATTGAGGTTGGTTGGATCGACGATTGGGGCTTGCATGGCTAAAGCGGAGGGGAATGAACATAGCGAATGGTTGAGGTTGACTTCGTATAGTGCGTGTTTTGCCGTTCGATCCTTGGTGTGATTGCAGGTATGTCTTGTGGCTCGGGTTTCGGATTTGGATCGCTTGCGATCCTATATACATATACATGGTTGTGAGGGGTCCCACTGTGCCTGTGAGAAGTGGTCGTCGCAACTCTATCTTCCTTATGCGTGTATGCGTGCGTGTGCCTGTGATGAATATTTAAGAGACGTAAGAGGCCCATGTTAAAAACCCGTTTAAAGGTTGAGGTTGAGGGACAGAGAAGACCCTCCCTTCTGCCTATTTGCGTCTTGAGGGTTTCTTAGTCGGACGTTGGTCCTGGGCCGGGATTCAAGGTCCTTGTCCAGGACATCCCAAGCCCTGGGCTCTGCAGGGGAGGGATTTTCCCTCGTGCGGAGCCTATTTGCTTTGCCCATTGAGGCACCCCACCCTGAAGGCGGAAATGTCGCGAGGGCCGAACGACATGTCCTTCAGCCGTTCAATATCGTGTGGGGTAACCCCTCACGATATATTCCTTCAGCCATGCAATATCGCGAATCCGGAGCCGCGAGTACCACGTAGGGTTGACATTGGTGGTTGGTATGAGATTGGCCCGCAGCTGCGCGACTTTATATTAGAATCCCACGCGCAACGTTTCGCCGCCCTGGTGTTTAAAAGTTATGAGATCAAAAGGGACCGACACATATGGACGTATGTTTGGGATTACCGTAGGCCGCCGACACCGCGCGAAAAGGGGGACGTACCCCAGGATTATGATTTTTTTCATTAGGCGGGGGGGGGACCGCCGACCTATAACTTATCCGTTGCTCTTTAGAGATTTTTATGGTTGGACGTTGTAGTCCGTGGCAGCCGTCAAAGTCAAACCCCTTGACTTTCGCCCAGGCCCGGGGAGGACTTACCCCTAGGGTCGCAAGAGACGACTACCACCACAGGTATAGACCTGTGTACCACCCACTCTGCATAAGGGTGCAGAAGAGGGTGTGTGATCCTCAACCGCGCATGGCGGTTGTCCAGGGTCGAGAGATTAACCCTCAAGGCGCGTGTCAGCCGACACTTGAGTGTCGAACGCGACCTCGCGAATAGCGGGGACCGCCTTAGTATGGGTACTGCATAGTACGCCATCATTGCGACTGTTTGCGTACGCTTGCATTGCGAGTCGATATGAGTTAGTCCTGCGTCCACGTGGTTTTATACTAAGTCTCGTGTGCGACGCCTATTCGATTTCTGCGTGGAAGGTTATGGGTTGGCTAACGAGGGGCTAGGATCGTTGTCGCGTTGTTTGTGTTGTGTCGTTCCGTTTGGTGTGCGTGCGTGTGTTTTATTTTCTTGTTCGTAAAGTGGTGTGCGCGTGGTGTGTGGGATGCGTCCTAGTCGACTGACGACGAGTCGCGCTTGGGACCTCACCCCCCCCAAGATGTCGATTCACGTGCGGGCGCGATAGGCGTATTACCGCGCGTACCCCCTATGCTACAACGAACGAGAAACGCCCTCGGCTGGTCCACCTCTGCGATTGCAACTGATCAGCCTTCGTACTGTGGACTGGTAGCTCGGCGGGGATACGCCCACCGATGGGAGGTGACAACTCTCATAAGGTGGAGGTAAGTTGTGCCTCGCGTAGGCCCTATCTTGTTGTAGGGGCTCGCGAGAGGTATGGCTGATGCACTCGGCCGGAGCGGCCTAAGGAAGCTCCGTTTGCGTGTTCATGTCGAGGTTGGTCCAACTCCTGCGTGACGTGGCTGAGAGGGTCCCGCACTGCCACGCGCGGTGCCGGACTGATGCGCTCGACAGGTGGCGCCGTTGCCGGGGATAACGGAAGCCTACCATTGTCCCTGGTGGAACGACATCCGGGTATGAGAATGAGGGAGGACTAGGCATATGAGTGGATAAGGGAAAAATTATGCGATAAATTGTATGGTGGTCTATATGACTGTGGGTGTGAATAATTGATTGATTGGCGGCTTGGCTGATGGCACGGATGAGGCGAATGTGTGAGGAGACTCCGTGGTAAGGATAAACCTTATTTAGGTGAGCCTAAGGGAGATAGAGAGAGAAATGTCCGCCAGGTCTAGAGCATTGGGTGTTTAAGTGGTCAACCCGATAGGATCGTGAAGGATTGAGTCGCTGAGTGGGGTCTTTCGTCCTATCGTTTCTTATAACAGGAAGATTGAAGCCGAAGGCGGTTGATCAAAATGCCAAAGGAAATGGCGGACGGTGGGAGGAGGCTCGTGGCACTCGACGACCTCATTGATGTCTTGGATAAGCGCGAGAGGGCGCCGAGCAATGTCCCAAAGGTTGAGACATTCCATTTCAAGGGGAAACGGGTGTCTGACTGGTTGGATCTGACAGAGCAGGCGCTGGTAGGACTGTCAGATGAGGTCAAGATCCAACGGGTCCTAAGGTACCTCCTGCATAGTCACCATCGGGAAGTAAGTAAGGTCGTGGACGCCGCCAATGGCAGTTGGGCGAGGTTTGGGGACCTGATGCGGAGAAAGTACAGGTTGGGGGACGGCCTGTTGATCATGGCCGACTTGGAGGCCATGAACAAGGAAGACTTCTCTACCATTGGGGCGTTCGTGCACGAATTTAAGAAAAAGGCGAGGAAAGTGCATGGGATTTCCGAGGAGGCGCAGTGCGCTACATTTTTGGGGCTGCTTACGGGCTTGGAGGCCGCGGAGCTGATGAAGCATGGGGAAGGGAGTGAGAAGCTCACCTGGGCGACTATAGACAAAGGAGTGGAAGATGGGAGCCTGGACCAGGTGGAGCAGCGCCAGATGAGGCTGCAGAGGCGCAAGAGGAAGGAAAGGGATGCTACTACATCCGGGACCCGTGGGGTGAAGAGAATTGTCACGGACGTACTGGCGGCACTGGGGTATGACAACGAAGCGGAAGTACAGAAAAGAGGGGTGATAGTGGCCCAAGGTCGGGCGTCAGGGGCGACAGATGAAGAGGCTGGACGCGAAGACTATGGAGGGGAGGAGACAGGGTCCCAAGCCCTGACTAAGGCCCAGAGGAAGCAGCGCAACCTGCTGCTGGGAGGGCAGGGATCAGGAAAAGGGCAGGCTCCCCAAGCCATTGCTGCACCGTCGCCTGTCGCCGCGGCCGTGCCAGCGCCAGCCGGGCCATCGCACATGGGGCCGCCACCAGCTTGCGGACACTGGGTGCCGCATTGTCAGTCCACGCCCTGGACCAATTGCAACCACTGTGTCTCATGTGGAGGGAGTCAAGCCCACACGGGACACATGGTCCCCTATTCGGGCCCATCAGCAAGTATGGGCCCCCCGAGCTACCCAGCGACTCAAGGCCAGCCTGTGGCCCAACCGCCGCCCTCCCAACAGGCCTCGCAAGCTAGTGTGGCCGGGGGAGGGAGCCAAGGACAAGGCGGGCAAGGCAATGGGGGCCGGGGCCAAGGGGGTAGAGGAGGGGGCGGCCGGGGGTGAGGAGGAAATGGTGGAGGCCGTGGGGGAGGTTGGAATGGTCAGGGGGATCAGAACCAAGGTGGCCAAGGCAGCCAAGAGGGGGTCCAAGGGTACGGGAGGCCCCGCTTCGATTGGCGGAACGCGACTTGTTGGCATTGTGGCGAGGTGGGCCACACCATACAGTTCTGCCAACAGCGGCGGGACGACGAGCTGGTAGGACTGATCTCCTCCTGTATGGACGGGGACATATACGATAGGTGGGGGAAGCACATCGATCCCAAGACCCCGGGAGGAATCAGGCAGGAAGCCCTCAGGCGAGCAGCGGCAGGGCCACCAGCAGCCCCAGCGATGTTTAGGATATGGCAAGAAAAGGAGGATCCGGGTGTGAGAGTCAAGGAGATTGTGGATGAAAACGAGGAGGTGACTCAACGACTAAAGGCGGGGACTATAAAGGAAGAGCCTATCGTCGTTGAGTCAGATGACGAGGGGTTGGAGGTGGTGAGAGAGTCAGCCTCGACCATCCTGGAAAGGATGGAGGACCTGCTTGCAAAGGTCGGCAGATACCAGGAACGACTGAGAGTGATGTGCGAAGAGGCCCGATAGTGGGAAATGAACCTTCCTGAAGTGATGCTCTATGGATCCGGCCCGGAGTCGTCATCAGGACCGCAAGGGTGTCCAAGCGTGGCGACAGCCGGGGCAGGTCCTAGGTCACGGATGACCTTCAGGCCCCCTACGTCGCATGGAAGGGTGCCACAGGCCGCGCAGACTAGGGGCCAAAGTAAGGCTACCGCTAGTCAAGGGCCCAACCAGACACCTGGTCGGGCGCCCCCTCGGAGGGAACCTGAGCCTGAATGAAGGAGGAAATAAGTGGTGGAGGTTCAGGAGGAGGAAGAGGAGGGTGATGACGAAGAGGATGAGAGGCTCCGGCAGGAGGAGGACCAGCGAGCCGAGCAGAGGGCCAAGAAGAGAGAGATTCAGGGAGAGATGGAGTCGAGCCTGCACGACGGCGCGCCAAAAAGGAAGAAGTACGTGGTCCGGCTAGAGGAGGGCTTTGACGTGGAGCGAATGGTGGATAAGCTTCTGGAAGGTCACAATGATTTGATGAATCTAAAAGACATCTTGGCGTCGGCACCAAGGCTCCGTGGTGAGCTGAAAGGGCGGTTTTCACGAAGGTTAGTGCCCAACGTCCACCTGAGCTCGATTTTGTCCCGGGAGATAGAGTGGACAGAGGCGGGTACCAGGATGGATTGGAAGTGTGTGGCGTGTGGGTTGGTGGATCTGAAGGTGAGGGATCAGCCGAGCATCGCAATGGTGGACACGGGCGCTGAAATGAATATTATTTGGGAGCGAGATGCGACCATGCTAGGGTTGGAGGTGGACCTCTCGGATCATGGTGTGCTGCATGGCGCCAACTGTAAGGCAATTTTCTGCGGCACCGCGTCTAACGTAATGGTGGAAATTGGGAAGGTAAGGGCACAAACGTGTTTCTTCGTCATGCTCGATGTCGATCACCCTATCCCTCTGGGGAGGTCTTTCCTCTGCCGAACAGAGACCTTGGTTTTCAATAGGCATGAGGGGACAATGATCCTGGCCCTATCTGATCCGGCTTGCAGGAACTATGAGATCATCAAGTGCCGGAACACAGGACCCGGAAGTGGGAGGAACAGGCTCAACCTCGGCTCCTTTACCTTTGAGGAGTCTGAGTACGTGCGGCGAAGGCTCCGAGAGGAACAAGAGGAGGAAGGAGGGGGCGAGGTATTGTCCTTGAGCCTTAACGATGTGAATAAGGCGATGGAGGTGGTGACGGCGCATGATATGGCGGACCCTGAGGTTATAAAGGCATTGAGGGAGCAGGTCCTGGAGAGCCCTCAGGTGGGAGAAGTGGAACTGATCTATCGGCTTCCAGGAAGGAAAGGGGACCCCGCGATGGCCTAGACCCGAACGACAAGTCGACCTTTTTTAGGGGAGGGCTTAAGCAGGGCTCCCAAAGGCGGTACAAGACTATAGATAAGAAGTGTCGCCCGGTCCCCGTGCTTGTCACGGAGGATGAGGAAGCCTATTATGAGCGGGAGCGAGGGCTGATAAGATGTATTCGGGAGCATACGCAGGCAGGGCCGTGCCGAATCAATGATGAGAATGAGGTGGGGCTGATAATTGGCGAACCCGGCTTCCTTTCACCCCAGGAGAGGACCTTGATGGTAGAGACCATGAAGAGGAGGCATTGCGCATATGCGTTTAATGACGACGAGCGTGGGAGGTTGGACGTGCATAAGATCCCAATGATACGAATCCATACTGTCCCACATGAGCCGTGGAATCTGAAGGGCGCGCGATACCCGAATCCGGATGAGGAGAAGAAGGTGGTGGACTACCTGGATGGGAAGATGCGGACGTACGTGACAGACTACTCCAGTGGACCGTATGCCTCCCCTTGGTTTTGTTTTATCAAGCCGAACGGGACGCTACGGTGGGTGCAGGATTTGCAACGATTGAATGCAGTGACGGTGCGGGACGCGGGAGGATTGCCGAACGCGGACGCCCTGTCAGAGTCATGCGCAGGAAGGCCTATAATCTCACTTATAGACCTTTATTCTGGGTATGACCAGTTTCCTGTATACCCGCCGGATAGGCCGGTGACGGCGATGCATACGCCGAGGGGGCTGATTCACATGAATGTAGCCCCTCAGGGGTGGACTAATGCGGTAGCGATGGTGCAAAGGCACATGATTAGGGCTATGCAGACGGTTAGTCCACATATCACCCAGCCCTACATTGATGATCTGGCGGTCAAGGGTCCAAAGGAGAAGGAGGAAGACGAAGTGATGCCAAGAGTGAGGCGGTTCGTTTGGTAGCACATCCAGGATATCGATCAGGTTCTGGGTCTGCTGGAAGAGCACAACTTGATGGCAAGCGGCCCCAAGTCGAAGCACTGTATGAAGGAGGCCACGATCCTGGACTTTGTCTGTAATGAGAAGGGGCGGAGGCCAGATGTGAAGAAAACGGATAAGATCCTAGAGTGGCCAGTGCCCTTTCAGTCGATAAGGGACGTGAGGAGCTTCCTTGGGACCTGTGGGTTTTGGAGGAGTTTCGTGAAGGACTTCGCCACCAAGACGGAGCATTTGAGGAAGCTGGTGCGTCAGGATCAGGAATGAGTCTGGGGCAAAGACCAGGAAAAGGCTGTGGAAAGGATGAAAGGAGAGTTCAAGGAAGGAGGCTTGGTGCTGGGAGCGCCAAATTATGAGGCCACGGAGGAAAAACCATTCGTTGTCGAGACGGACACTGGACCAACTGCCTTAGGAGGGGTCCTGATTCAGGCAGATGCGGATGGGAAGGAGAGGCCGCTAAGGTTTGAAAGTCGTACCCTCAATACGACTGAGAGGAACTACTCTCAGTTTAAGAAGGAGACGCTCGCGGTACTCCATTGCCTGAGGACCTTTCGGAACTATATCTTTGGCAGGAGGCTCATTTTGAGGGTGGACCCTACTGCGCTTGCGTGTTCCCTGAAAAGTTATACTCCATCTGACCCAACCATCGCGAGGTGGTTGACTTACGTTTGGATGTTTAACTTTGAGTTGGAGAGGATTCCAGGGGACAAGAACAGGGCAGATGGGCTGAGCCGTATCAACTGGGACGGGGCTAATCAGGAGTCCATTGAGGACACCCCACCAGTCGATGGGTTCTTGGATCAGGAGGAGGATGTCCGCCTCCACATAAATGAATGGTCGTTGAGGGTGCCTAGCTGCGTCACGCACCCCATATGGCTAGCGCCAAAGGGGTACGAACGAAAGGAGTGGGTCCTCAAGCCCTTCCAAGAAGAAGATCCGTGGGGGAGTAGGGATGTTGGCTGGATGATGAAGTTGGCATTGGCAGGTACACATAGTCTGGCAGAAAAAGTAAGGACGATAGAGGAAGGCCCAACCCAGGCAGAGGAGCATGAACAATTAATGGGAGGGATGTATTTGCTCACTAATACGCTCCTGCAGGGGAGCTTTAACCAAATGGACTCATTTGGTCCTGAGGGAAGCGAACTTCTTGTTCCTGAAAGCCAGGACGATGAGTTCGAAGAGGGAGAGATCAGGGAGACCTTCCGTGCAGAAGAGTATGACGGGATCTATCGGGAGTTGGGGTTACTCCTGTCATGCGAGATAAGGGATAGGGACGCAAGTGCTAAAGCCCAGAAGATGAGGCATCTCTACGTAGTAAGAGATGACCATCTGTTTATAAAGCGAAATGTCGTAAACCCCAAGAGGATTGTATATGGGAGAAACCGGCAGATCGATGTCATAGCAGCCCTACACGATGGTATAGCAGGGGGGCACAGAGGGGTTAGTGCCACGTGCGCAAAGATAAGCGAATTGTACCATTGGGACGGGATGCTGACTATGGTCATCAAATACTGCCAGTCCTGTGTACCTTGCCAGCAGAGGTCAATGCAAAGGCCAGGGGAACCCCTGCACCCAAGGTTAGAGAGGGAAGTGGGTGCAGTCGTGCACCTGGACCTGTTGTTCATGCCAGCTGGGGAAAATGAGTGTAATTACATATTTGATGCACGGGATAACCTCACTGGATTTGTGGACGGTTGGGCTATCCGGACGAAGAAAGGCCCAGTGTTGGCAAATTATATCGAGGAGTACTACCTGGGCTATACCTTTGTCAAAGAGTTCGTGATGGACCGAGGTTCGGAATTCACCTGCAATGAGGTGCGAACCTTGCTTGCGGGGTATGGCGTGGTGGCTAACTACACTACGGTCGCGCATCCGCAAGCGAACGCACCTGTGGAAAGGGGGCACAATACCATCACAAACCTCTTGGCTAAGTGGACGGAGGGTAGGCCGGGTCAGTGGCTGAAGTTCCTACGAGCGGCTTTCTTTGTGGAGAACGTTACAGTAAAAAAAATTACCAAGTATGTGCCAGCCACACTATGGTACGCAAGGCATGCCACCTTTCCCATCGAGAGTTTCATGAAGACGTGGAGGCGCCAGGACCTGGAAGTGAACCTGTCTTTTGAAGAGTTGCTCGATATTCGGGCACGACAGGTGGGAGCTGCTGAGGAAAGATTGCGAGAAGCCGCTGGTCAGGTAGAGAGGAGCCGCATGGAGGACAAGATGAGATGGGATCAGATGACCCGTGTAAGGAAGGATCCGCTGAAAGTTGGAGATGCGGTACTGTTGTATGACTCCTCGCTGGAAAAACAATGGTCTAGGAAGCTTGAGAAACGGTGGTTGGGACCCTATAGGATCATGCGGTGTGGCGAGTTTGGGGCTTACCAAATTAAAGAGCTGGATGGGGCAGGGTGGCAGGACTGGGTATCAGGGACAAGGGTGAAGAAGTTCGTGGCCAGAAAATAGGTAAGGGACCATGAGACCTCGTTAGGAATTGAGTCTTGCCCAGGTATTACCCATGTCAGGTAATTGAATAGATGGGTGATTGGGATGGATGGGTGTGGAGTGTATGTGGGATTTTCCTAGGCCAATTGGCTTAGTTGGTGACCCTGCTGTGCGCCTGTTTGTTGTCTCTCGCCTGTTGTGCAGGTCTGACTTCTCGAAGGCAGTCATGCAGAGGGGCGGGAGGGATGCACGGCCACGACAGGGGTCCCAGAGGGCGGCAGGGAGAGGCGAGCAACATGAGCCGCCTAGGAGGGAGCCTACGCCTGAGTTCGACGACGATAACATAGAGCTCTTCCTGGACGTGTATCGGGATCATGCGACACAAAGAGGATGGTCAGTGGCGGAAAGGGATTCACCACTTGAGGGGTATAGGGCGGTTTGAGGAGCCTGTCGCTCAGATATGTGAGGAGGCCCTGACTTGGCCAGATGTGGAGGCAGGGATGCAGAGGTTGAGAGCTTCCCCTAGGGGACGTGATGGCATGCCCATTCGATTGGAGGACGGGAACGCGGAGGAGTTTATTCCCGCATACGAGCATTATATGCTGAGCCAGGGGATTACGCAGGACGAGTGGGTGCAGACCCTACTTATTTGGACTAGGGGGGCAGAGAGGCCGGTGGCTAGGCAGATTCGGAAGAGAGCTCGAGACTGGGAGGACTGCCAGGCCTAGCTCAGGAGGGCGTTTGGACAACCAGGGCGTGAGAGGCCCGAGCCCAGGGTCGAGAGGCGAAGGCGAAGCAAAAGGCCAAGGGAGCCGGCGCAGAGAGAGCTGGGGCTGGCTAGAGAGAGGAGGAGGGCCCCAGCGTAGCGAGAGGATGAGCTCGCGGGGCCCGCACCGGAAGAGGAGTCGTTCCCCGCTTGTGGTCTCTGGGCAGTTGAGTTTCGGCGGATTACGAGCGCTGAGCTGAGGCCGCCTTCACCAGCGCCATCAGGGCAGGAGCCGGACGTACCAGGGGAGACGCCATTCCGGAGCTTAGCAACTCACCTCGACGTATCTCGATGGGAGGCTTCACGGTTGGGGGAGGGCTCAGTTGAGCCGACGCGCTATGTGCTGTTAGAGGAGCCTCTGGACCCCGAGACGGAGACGGGCATACGAGATCGAGAGGAGCCGCAGGATCCTGAGATGGCAGCCGAGCAGCCGGATCCGGTACGGCCTCAGGTTGAGGAGGTGATCACAGTTGGAGATGATACCCCTCCAGGTAGCCCAGCCCCGGAGCCGGCGCGACCTCTTTGGCCAGAGGGGGTCCCTGAGCCAGATAGTGAAGAGATTTCAGATTTTCCTCTTGAGGCCACCAGAGGGGGTCCCTTAGGATCAGGGGGCGCGTGAGAGAGTGAGGGTGGAGGTACCCCCTGACCTGCCATTGGCCATGCATGCGACCGAGAGCCTAGTTATCGGGGGACCTGCTCTAGCGGAGTCATCACTAACATTGCCATGCACGGGCAAGAGGATGGGTGCCGAGGCGTCGACTCAGGAAGGCCAGGGGCCGCGGGTGAGAGGAGCCTCAAGAGAAACCCGTGAAGAGGAGTCCGCCAGAGTGCGAGTTCATTTGGATGAAATACACGCGAGGCAGGCTGAGATGGAGGCGGCAGGGATAGAGCCGATGCCGCCGGTCGATCCCAAAACGAGTGAGCAGCGGATCGACGAGTTGTGGGCGAGGTACGAGAGCCAGAGGGACGCAGCCTGCCAAAGGTCACGAGAGACGGGACAGGCAGACGAGAAGGCGGGTGAACTGAGGGAGATGGGGGACTTGAGGTTCTCCGCGACTAGGATGGCGATTGAGCATGAGGATAGGAGGATATGCGAGACGACAGTTACATCCTTCCAGTGGTATAGTCTACTCAGCGATGAGCTCAAGGTCAGAGAGTTGGAGGTGGAGCACCTGACTACTCAGCTTGCCGAGGAGAGGGCGAGGAACCAGGCCAGAGAGGTTGAGTGGAAGAGGAGATTTGGGGAGATGGCGGCCACTGTGGATAGGCTCTCGGCAGCCTGGGAGGCTAGCCAGGCGGGACGAGCCGGTGCCGATGGCCGGGGCCGAGGGATGCAGGCTTCGCCGAGTCGGGGAGCAGTGGTGGAGGCCCCTCGACGGGCTGGGCCAATGGGGGAGGTGCCCCTGGACACGGCCGAGGAGGAGGGTGGCGCCCAGGAGTCACTTATGGCGATGTCCACAGAGAGAAGAGGCTCACGTTTGCAGGAGCTGGCAGCAGCCATGGGGATAGGTACTCCGCAGGAGAGGCCTCAGAGGCCTGACGCCCCAGACTACGCCCCAGGGCTGAGAGAGTTGAGGGCGGAGTTGGGCTCCTGGGCCACAGGGACGGACTCAAGAGGACGACTCAGGACGGCAGCAGCAGCAGAAGGTCATGAGTGAGCCAGCCACTGTGGCGGGCTCTCAGCCGTCAGGGTCATGTGGGGATGTGGTTGTGACGGAGAGGCCTCACGAGGAGGGGGCCCGAGAGTTGGGCACGCCAGACCACGAGCCAGTGAGCACTACCGTGCAAGGGGGTGAGGATGCTGAGGCTGTGGAGTCCGAACCTCGGGGCCGTATGGGGGTACCATTGTGTCATGAGGTGACCACCGAGACCATGGGGACGCCTTCAGCATCGAGTTCCCGAGGGAGAAAGAAGAAGACTGCTAGGTGGTACGACACCTCCTGCTTTTGGTGCAAGAAGGAAAGGCATAGAGCCATGGACTGCCCAGAGCTCCTCAAGGATAAGGCCGAGGGACGGGTTGCAGAGGTCGACGACAAGCTCTATGACAGACAGGGCAGGATAGTGGAGCGAGCTCCAGATGGGGGCAGGGCTCAGTTATATAGGCAGAACCAGGAGGAATTGTGTGAGTAGGGACTGGTCTGTCTATGTGTCAGTAGGGTCAAAGTATTTGGCACACAGGGGGCGGGTTGGAGGTGTATATATGTTTAGTTGGCTGAGGGGGCCCTAGATGTGTGCATACTTTAGAGGTGGTAGGATGAGTCCCTGCCTGCTTATACATACATAGTTGATCGTGTTTTCCTTGAGCTTTTCTTTCATGGGCTACGGCTTAGGGCATGAGGGCCGAACGTAGGGCACATGAGACTATTCAGTCCATTTTTGGTTTCGCGGTGCAGAGACTATTTGAGTTTTGAGAGAGACTTGGGTATGAGTTTTCCCTAGTTGGATGAGATAGGGGGTTAGGCACCCATTAGATTTTAGACAAATGTTGTGTCCCCGAGCGTGTTCCGCGAGTGTACAGTGGGGTCGGGAGCCAGATCCTATGGGACTTGTCTTGTGACGACCACTATCACTCTCACAAGTGTGGCTCTATCCTGATGTATGATTGGCTTTGTGTGAGAGGTGTGCAAGATACATCTCATGGGCATGGTTTTGTAAACTGTAAAGCTGTCTACCCTCCGGTATACTCGTGCGGTCTACTGGCAAGCGGACGAGAGGGCAGAGTATAAGGAGGGGGAGTGCAGCCTGTTTGTGAAAAATTGAGAGAATCCTACGGGATTGATGGATTCACGAATCTGCATGTTTTGTCATACTAAACACCGTTGTCTAAGTTATACAAGGAACCAGGAGATGGTCCCTCAGTTTGAGTTGTTCGGTGATTAAGACCCCTTCATGGTTCTGGAGGGTGAGAATTGTGTTATTGCTGGGGCCCCTTCATGGTTTTGGAAGAGGACGCGTGAAAATTCATCCCGAACAAAGAGAGGGAGGGGTGAATACGAGATCTTTTGTGAGAGGCACCCTTTACTAAGTAAGGGTGGGTAAAAATTGACTGGTATGGAAAGCATTGTTTGTGTTTATAAAGCCTGACGAGAGGGAACCATGTTTGCTTGAAATGTTTGAAAAGGGCGAGAGATGCCTCAGGGTGGGCGACTGCTGGCTCTGATCAAGTCAGGAGCCGCGGCCTTGTGGATCCGGCGGGGGGACTGTTTGTGATTGAGCGGAGGATGCCGTGCCTATTATAGGAGGGCCGGTAAATGCCTTCAGACCCCTGCGTAGTCCCGCAGCGGCCTGAGAATTGTTTGTGATGCCCCGGCGGACCATCTGTGCTAATTCTGAGACATATTTATAGGAATACCAAGCTAACGATAAAGTTTAGTGCCACCTGGGCGCAACCCCTAGTGGATGGCTGCAAGCCGGCACAACCTGGCTGCGGGCCCGCGAGGTAAGAGTTTAAGGGGAGTTGCCCGCCCCAGAGAAATTGCCCCGCGGGATAGAAGTCGAGTCTTTTGGAAAGTCCTGATTGACTGATTATCAGGAAAAACGCCTATCGTTGTATAACCAACGGGAGGATACCGCCGCTAAGGTAACAACGCGGTGGGCCGTAGGCCTGGTTCGATCAGCCGGGCTACGGTCGGCCCAGAAGGGGACCTGGCGTTTCTGTACTAGACTGCAGAAAAGGCCGAGAGAGGCTACAAGCTTATATGTGTGAATTTTGTTTGACTGTGAGGGATTTGCTGGAAGAAGGCAAGATTGCCTTCACAGGTCCCATTCGAAGCCCGCGTCCCTAGTTATGGCTTTGCTTGCGAGAAAGAGGCCAACTGAGACACCCAACGAGCGGCCGACAGTTGTCTAGGACAAAGGGGGAGAGGATGGTTTGAGGGCCTTTGGAACTTATGCTGTAGTATTGATGCGTAATACACCGACGCCCTGGTATCAGGACAATGGGGACCCAGGTTGAAACCCTGGCAGCATATAGTTGTGTTGGCACGGGTTGTTGGAGGCCTCACCCCTGAGTCTGTCGACTAATCGGATTGGTTCAAACCTCGTCAGCCTTTGGAGTGTATGAATTTATAGCTTTTGATTTGGCGGAGCGACGGGGACATCGCTTAATCTGGTCCGGTAAGCTGTTGGCGCGAATACCCTTACAAGGGTATCCGCCCTGTTTTTTTGCAAGCGACAGAAAGGCTCGGTTAACCTGGATTTTGAGTGCCCGTGCGGGAAATGCGAGGGTCGTGCGCACGCGGACAGAGGTCTGCCTTATCCCGGAAGGGAATACGTGGGCGCGCAATTTTAAGGCGCGCGTGTGATTTTTCTGATTGAGTGGGCGGCCGGGGTAGCCGACCGACCCGGGCCGGGTTACGGGTTTGGTTGGGGGATGAAAAGTTGTTTTTGGTCGGCGCGCGCGACCGGCGGCAGGACTGGCGCGCCGATAGACGTATGGGACGGCCACGGCGCGGGGGGTAGTAGGCCAGCGTGGGCACTTAGGGGCCGTAGGTACAAGTGTGGGCCGAAGGGGTGGCCGGGGTAGTATCTCAGCCAGGAGCATCGCGCGATGCCATTTATATAGGAGGGCCGCCCCTATCAGTACCAGGCTGGGGCTTAGCCCTATAGGTTACGTCATCGGGTTTTCACCGGGTGGATCCCGGGGTCGAGGCCAAAGCGGAGCAACAGAGCGGCGAGGGAGCGAACCGAGGGGTTGAGGGCCCCGCAGGAATATCCCCCTTTTGTGTTGCCAAGGGGGTCCGACCGCGGGTCCGCGCCGCAAGGCTATGGGAGGATTGGTAGGACCCGCGGCTCATTTTCCCCTCCAAATGGCCCCTTTTTTTTTTGTTTTGGGGGTCACCCCAGAATTTTCCTGCTTTAGTTAGAGCTGTTTAGGAGGCTGGCGACGACATCTTGGGGCCAGCGGCCATTTTGTTGGGAATACCCGTATACCGTGGGGGCGCAGACCCCAACCTAACTCGGATGGTGGGGGGCCGAGGGGCCATAAATTAAAAAGTCGAGCTTTGCATGAGCTGGCCAACTTGCTGACACGGCCACTGGGGAAGATTTAGGAAACGATATAAAGAGGATCCGCCTGGCCCCTGTACAAAGGTTCACACGCATAAGCCCCGAAGGAGGGGCCAGGTTCATGCGGAAAGGGGTGAGTGAGTGGAGTACAACCGTGGCAGATCTCCCGTGGAGAAAATCCGAGTGAGGAAAGGGAGTTCCGGGGACGAACATGGACGGGTGCACGTGGCAGGGGAGGAGAAGTCCCAGCGACCCCTGGGAGCGCCGTGGGGCGCTTGCCACTGTTGGAGTCCTTCGGGACATCCGTTAAAATTGGAACGATACAGAGAAGGTTCGCATGGCCCCTGCGTAGGGCTGGCGGGTGGAGAATCCGGGGATGAACCCGGACGTAAGACGGGTTAGGCGCGCGTTCGAAAAGCAAAAAGGGAGGGGGGGGCTGCGAGGCACCCGTTTGAGGTAGGCCGGGTACGTGCAAAGGAGGGACCGTAGGGCCTTTGGGCCAGCACGGGGAGTTGCTCCGGTCGAGGTTTTTCGGGGATCCGCGGAAACTTGGGGCGGAGTAGGAAAAATTGTGCGGCCTCGGCATAAGACCGACGCCTATAAGTCGGGAAGATACTGCTTCCCCGAGCTATTTGCCTTGTTTTTTTTTTGCCGAGTCTTGCCAAGGCTGAGCGCTGTCGGTGTCTCGATCGGAGCGCACCGTTTTTTTGGGACGTCACCACGATAGGGATGACGAACGAAGGTGGCGACGGGGCGAGACAGGGCGCAGCGGAGAGGAGGTAGTGCGCGCGGACGGCGATGGGATAGGGCCAAAAAGGGGACGAGTTAAGGGTTTTGCGGTCGGGCGAATCAAATGGCGGGTTCAGAATGAGGAACGGAGGAGCGTGGGAAGAGATGGAGGAGAAAGGTAGTGCGTGAAGGGCGGAGAAGAAGGGTAAATGGCGGGAGCAGGAAATTGCCTACGTCACCCGATGTCGGGCGGAACCAGAGGGGAAAGAGTGCTATATGGGGATTCTTTGGCTAGGCGACCCCAACAGTAAGGCCAGTTTGGAGGAGGGAAGGCAGGAGAGCCGGCGCGAGAAAGAAGTCGGTGGCATGCATGGTGGGATACGTTGCAGAGAGAGGTTGGGTGAACCTTCCCGTATTCTAGCGGGAGATTCATTCTGGTAGTTGGTCAGACCGGGCGTGGTTGGCTACGGTGGACGGGTGTGGGTGACGGAGGAGGAAGAAGGCGGGGAGTATTTTGTGTTGTCCTTTGGACATCCGGGCTAAGTGGATTACTATGGTGAATGGATGTATGTGAAGGTGGAGGAAGAAGGTGCAAGGTTGGCTATGGTGGACGGGTGTGGGTGATGGAGGAGGAAGAAGGTGCAAGGCGGTTGGCTAAGGTGGATGGGTGTGGGCGATGGAGGAGGAAGAAGGTGCAAGGTGATTGGCTATGGTGGATGGGTGTGGGTGATGGAGGAGGAAGAAGGTGCAAGGTAGTTGGCTATGGTGGATGGGTTTAGGTGATGGAGAAGGAAGAAGGTGCAAGGTGGCTGGCTATGGCGGATGGGCGTGGGTGATGAAGGAGAAAGAAGATGCAAGGTGGTTAGCTATGGTGGATGCGTGTGGGTGACGGAGAAGGAAGAA